ATAGAGGTCTATAAAATCATGAGTGGTGTGGAGAGGGTAAATAAAAAAAAGTTCTTCATTAGTTCCCATAATAGAAGGACTAGAGGACACCAAATGAAATGAATGGGCAGCAGGTTTAAAACTAATAAGCGAAAATTCTTCGTCACACAGCACATAGTCAACCTGTGGAACTCCTTGCCACAGGAGGCTGTAAAGGTTAGAACTATAGCAGAGTTTACAGAGAAGTTAGATACATTCATGGAGGTTGGGTCCATGGAGTGCTATTAGCCAGAGGGTAGGAACTGTGTCCCTGGCCTCTGTTTGTGGAAGGCTGGAGATGGATGGCACGAGACAAATTGCTTGGTCATTGTCTTCAGTCCATCCCCTCCGGGGTACCTGTTGATGGCCACTGTCGGCAGACAGGCTACTGGGTGAGATGGACCTTTGGTCTGACCCAGTATGGCCATTCTTATGTTCTTATGTTCTAAGCTCAGGGCTCAGGGTTGGGGGTCTCACTGGACCAACTTGATTTTCATGCAAACCTGCTCCTGGATTCGCATGTGGCCTTTGGTGGCCAGGTTGGCAGCTATCCTGCCCTAGACGGCTGCATTCCTGTGCCTAGTGCGGAGATAGGTGGACGTTGGAGGCCTCCCCCCAAACCTTGGCACTAGCCCAGGCGGCCGCCCACCTCTTGCGGTCCCGGGCAGGCTCCTGGGAGCTGCCAGCGTGGTCCTGGGAAGAGGCAGAGGGCTGGATGGCAGTGGGTGGCTGGCTCATGCCGTGCCAGGTACAGAGTCTGCTGGCTGGGTGCTGGCAGGCTTGCAACTAGCACAAGCACTGTAGCCAGACCGTGGCCCTTTAAGGGCTCCGGGGCTGGGAGGCGGGCAGAAGAGTTTCCCTGGTTTGGCCCAGAGTGGCCACCAGGGCAAGCTGGGAAGGGCTAGCCTCCAACTAGTTTGAATTAATTGGCTACACCGCCCTTAATTTGAACTACTTAATTCGAACTAGGCATTAGTCCTCACAGAATGAGGTTTACCTACTTTGAATTAAGCGCTCCGCTAGTTCGATTTAAATTCGAACTAGCGGTTTGCATGTATAGACGCTATGAAAGTTAATTCGAACTAACAGCTGTTAGTTCGCATTAACTTTGTAGTGTAGACATACCCTTACTGTTCTACTCCTCTCATGGCACTCCACTATCTCTGTGCATCTAGAGCAGAAAGAATACATATGCACGAGCAGCAGACACAATTTTCTACATTCTGGGTCCTAGTGGCACTTCCCCACAGTCTGGCACCTGAGGCCAAAGTTCTGCATTTTTTTAGTTCAAGCTTGGAACCTCCACAGCTTCCCAGCCCTGCTTTACTCGATGCTATTCTAACACACCACTTCCTGACTTCAGATTCCCTGCATCCCCAACTTCTGTGCTTTGCAGGCTATACAAAGCTTAGGAACCCCAGAGGGTCATGACTCCAGATCCTTTTTATCAAGCATGTCCCGTCCAAAACTAAAAAGGCATAGGGTGGTAGAATATAACAGGCTGAGTATGAACACTTCTGAGGGACTCCGTTCAGGGTAAATTGCTCAAAAGCAGGGCTACTTACAGCCCACATCTGAAGTCCTTTCCCATAGGCAACAAACCAGTCCCACAGAGCACTTCAGCTGCCAATCTGGCCAGCAGGAGGCCTCACAAGCAAAACCCCTCAGGCGCCCCAGCTTTCCTTGTGCCACAATCAGACCCAGGCCTTACACACAGGTGAGAGGTCATAAAACCCAATTTCACCACCTCTGAACAGGTTCTCCCGGTCCCAAAAGACCAGCCACAGCCCCAGGCCAATTTATGCCTCAGATCCTACCCACAAAAGCATGCTGGGCCAATCCTTTAGAATCTAAAGGTTTATTAACAAAAAGAAAGAAAAGGTCGAGAGTGAGATTGTTAAAGAGAATACATTACATACATCAATCACCACGTTCTTGATGCAGGCTCTTAGCAGAGATGTTATAAACTGCTAGGTTAAAAGTCTTTGGTGTACATCCTGTACCAGGATGGGTCAGCAAATCCTTCCCGGCTCTCTGTCCCTAGCAAGGATGCCTCTGAAATCAGGAGCAGGATTGAAGATAAGATGAAGATGGCCTCATAGGATTTTTATGTTCCCGGTGCCTCCCAAACTGGAGCTGGTCACATGATCAAGTGACCTGTCTGTGTTTCACATGCAAGTAGCCATTATACACTGGCTGTGCTGCAGGTTTCCAGATGCATTCCTCAGGTGTGTATTGGCAACTCTGAGAGCCATTGTCCAAGAAGCACCGCTAATTAGCACAGCCATTCATTGAACAATCATTCCTCACAATAGGCAGTCCGGGCCCATTGCTCCCTCCCAGACAGAGAACATTTAATATATAAGAACAGAGCCCATATTTATAACTTCACATACAAAAATCATACAGGTATATGAGTAGCATGCATAGAATCAGTACAGCATAAGCTTTCATTTGACACCTCACATGGCCCACTTTGTACAGTACTTGGAGCAAACACCGCCCATGGGTGCAACAGTGATTTGTCTGCTCGGACTAAAATCCAATAACAAGACAGGCGGGCAGCTCTTCCTTAGGTGTTATGAGGAGAGAGTAGGCTGGAAGTTAGTGAGACTTTGCACAGTTCTCCTTATTGATTCTGCATTCTCTGGTTTGTGGTTTAAGGTGTAAGAGCCTTCCATTCTGAACACTGCTGCTCCTTCGCTAGTTTACTATTGAGCAAATATAGCTGGCTCATGCTTGTATCTCTGAGGTTAATTTGGGGATGTGTGCATATCTGTATACACTTACACCCCACACATGGAGTATGAATACAGAGTAAGTGCCTCAGAGAAGCGAGGCTCTTGGGCTGTGTTTCTAGCATTACCCCACTCCCTCCAGCCTTTGCACCTTGAACCTATGGAGTCAAATCAGAAGAACCCAGCTCAGAAGCCTACAGGAGTAATTTTGCAAATACTGTTGAGTGAGATGTCACGGCTTGAGAAATTACTCTGTGCTCTGTGGGAAAAGACTGGTCAAACGTCCCTTCAGCCCAACTCACTGAAGGGCAGGAAGTAAAAAAAAATCACTGTCAATACCCCCAGAGTGGTGTGGTGATAAGACTAATCCCTGGAAGTGAATGGTGACTTCTTTTTATGACTGGGCACTGGGGAAATAACCAGGACTTTCCCTAGATCACATAAGGAGCTGGTGGAGTTAGAACACTGTGGGCAACCAGTGGTCCATTAAATTCTATATGTGACCCATGGGATATTTTGTTTAATGTTGCTCAGGTGCAGGGTTGCCAGATTCTGCTGGCTTCCAGCCATGTAATTTTTTTCCTCCCACAAGTACAGGTTGAACCTCTCTACTCCACACCCTCAGGACCTGACTAGTTTTGAATGAGAGAATTTTCTGGGCCACGGGAGGTCAATATTGTCTACAGCATTACCAACACTTCCACTGCTTACTGGGCTGTTAGAGGACATTTATGGGGTAAACTAGAGGTAAATAGCAGAACTGGACACTGAGAGCTAGGACTGGTGGCTGTAAACAAACTTTATGGGACTGTGGGAAACTTGGCCACACCCATTAAAAGTGAACATCTGACTAACTCAGATCATTCTGTATGATGGATGTTTCTGGATGAGAGAGATCAGGCTTAGAGAGGTTCAAGGTGTATTGCTAAAGTGACACACGTGTAAGGCAAAGGAATGCGCAGATTACACACAACATTAAAACTTGTCTCCAAAATTACTTAGCAGTTGTTACAAGTAACACCTAAGATAACTAATTTTCTGTCAATTGTAGTAAAAACAAGTCTCTCCACTGAAACATCAAGGGCCTGGCTACTTCCTCAATGAAGGTTTACCTGGCAGCAATTTTGCCCTTTCACCCAGGAGAGGCTGGTGGCTTTTGTCTTCACAAGCCCTTTGGTTGGGCATTGCCTCAAGGGTATGGATTAGCTCCACCCACTGGTTCAGTGCCCAGTCCCTGCTTGGGATCTCAGCCTGGCCCTCTCGGCGCTTACAGGTCTCCCCTTGGAGTCTTTAGCAACCTAAGGGTTGGTTCTATGGCCGGTTTTGTTCAAGATCTCCACTGAAGGAGATGGCACAAACTCCCTAGTGGAATTTATTCCACTGCTTAACCACCCTGACAGGAAGTTTTTCTTAATGTCAAACCTAAACTTCTCTTGCTGCAATTTAAGCTCATTGCTTCTTGTCCTATTATGAGAGGTTAAGGAGAACAATTTTTCGCCCTCCTCCTTGTTAACACCCTTGTTAACATGTCCATTTTAAAGACACAGACTGCTAAATGTGTATATGCTATTTTTATGCGTGTATCATTTCTGTAGATAAAGTTAGAAATATGAAGTGCGGAGCTGTTCATAATTCTAAATATGCTAATGAGGGCCATTACAGATGCTCTAGAAATTCAGTGATCAAGTCAATGATCTGTGAATAATCTTGTTTGTCCTGTAAGCCCAAACTATGCTTCATCCTAGAAAGACATGTGGTCAGGCCACCTGAGCCTGAAACCCATTTTGGATCTGGTATTTTTCCACTCAAGTTTGGAAGCTTGAAATGAGCAAAGAATTTCTGCTTTTGGAAAAAGGGATATAAGAGTGAGAACCAAACAATAAGGGCAGTTGCTAGATGCCGGAAGACTCCCCGCGGCCCCTACTTACCACCAAAGATGCCTGCTACAAACATAAAAGATAGAGCAGCGGGAAAGATCAGGCCCAACCTAGATGACTTTTTAGATGTTTAGGGTAAGAATTGGTATATAACAAGTAACTTACTTTGATCTGACTGTTTTCACTCGCAACCACTTCAATCCATGTGTAGTTTAGCACTTTCGGTAGGTACAGGTAAGGTGACTGATACCAATGCCAATAAATTCCTGCCAGCTCCATGAATATATTTGATTCAGGTAACTTATTTGTGGTTGGGATGCCCACGGTGCACATGCTGCTTTACCAAACACATGCAAGAACAAGGCTCTTGACCTTATTCCTTTATTCAGACATGCAGCAAATCGTTTAATTCAAGCATAAGAATCAGCAAAACCTGGTTCGGAGGCTGAGACAAGGAAGTATTAGAAACGGCAATTAGCCCATGTTTAACTGCTCCACCGTATAGTAATAAATATGAAAAAGAGCAGAGATAAGAGCAAATGACTGCAGAAAAACAACTTTTCCAGAATGTGCAGATCAGACTCGCACGCCTGTGGTTCCGCCTGCTTGCCAGTTCCTTGCCTGTCTGCATCGATTCTTCCCACAAGCATGGGTGGTTCTGTATTTCCCTTTCCAAGTGGGTCTGAATCTCTGCTCTCCTGTTCTCCCATGACCATCTCAGTCAGCGAGTCTCCTACAACGGGCAAAACAGCAGCCAAATGTAAATATACGTTAGGGGAAATTTTGGACAAGAGCAGAGGCCTGCAGGAGCGTAAACTGGATTTTATTTGCTTGATAGGTTTTTTTTTAATTAAAACTTCAAACCTTTTTCTGTCAGAAAATCTCAGGGTTTTTTTTTTTTTTTTTTTTTTTTAAATGAAAACTTCAAACCTTTTTCTATCAGAAAATCTCAGGGACTGTCCTGGCTCCATGACCATGTGAGGGGGGCCAGAGGTGATGGATGCTTCAGGGCACTGTGTTTACTGCTGAGTTTACATAAAGAACCAAGGTACAGCTTCTTTGTATACACAGTTGCCTCTATGCTGTATATTTGATTAGGATAACATATGCACCATGGTGATGTTGAGCAGTGGTAGGTGTCTTAAAGTTTGTGAATTTAGAATCAAACGTGTCCTGAAACACAATCAGCTTTGGTTCTAAGCCTGCTGGCATGATTGATTTCCTGAGATAAGTGCTCCCTACTGACAGAACCCAGCAACTGGATACGGAACATTCCAAAGTAGGTAACCAAACACCAACCTTGTTTGCTTAGGAGGTCTCTGGATGTTGTTCTAGGTTGCATGGCGCATTTAAGCAGTCTAATAGCCTTGCGTAAAGGGTGTAGGGGTTTCGCCTTCAGTTGCATTAAAAAGCAGGTCTCCAATATACCCAAAAACATTAGGACAAAGACACCTATGAAAAACATCACTGCAAAACAAGAGGCAAAGGATGTGCTTGATAAACTTACTTCCTCGAGGTCTAGTCACTCTTATCTATAGTAATTCCTCATTTAACACTATAGATATGTTTCAGAAAATGATCGTGTTAAGTGAAAACATGTTATGCAGGGTCAATTTCCCATTGAAAATAATGGAAAAGGTGGGGGTTGTGTTTCAAGTGTTGGTGTCTGTTGGGACCGGGACATAAGATTGGGGGAGAAAGGGGACTGGGTTACAGCAGGGAGGGGAGGTGTTTGACTCTGGGGAAGTGAAGGGGAGCAGAGGGAAGGGGGATTGGTTTGCCCCTGTGACAGGTCTGCTGGGACCTGCATTGCAAGAGCAGCGAACCCTCCGCTGCTTTGCAGGGAGGTGGGGGAAGCCCCGCACAGCTGCCGGCAACGGGCCAGCTGGGGAAATCGTGCTATTCTGGGGATGGTCATGTAATTCAAAAAATGTTCCTTAAAAAAAAATCGTGCTATCGCAAAAACATGTTAAGCGGGTATGTGTTCATTGAGGAATTATTGTACTGTTTTCTCCTGCTTGGTAGAAGAAATATAAGGCCCTAAAGTCCAAAAACTACTCTGAACAGAAACTTCTATTATTACAGCTCTAAAGCAGCGGCTATGTGTTCCTTTTTTTACTGTAGCTAAACAGGTGGCATGGTTGTACTCTGCTCTCTTCCTTAGATCTAGTGCATGTGACTGTTACTCAATAAAGACAAGTACCTATTACGGGTGGGTCATCAGAAGAAGTGGGAATAATGTTCTCAAGAATCACAGCTAACACTGACTCTCCAACGATGAGTGACAGCTGGAAGCTGATCTTGTCTCCATAGGAGCCGGAGCTGAACAAAATAGCCATATCCATTAAGTAGAGCGCACTTGTTGGGAAGATAAGGTTCAAAACGTATAAAATGGGTCGTCTCTTCATGGAGATCTGGGAGGGGGGGGAACAAGGCAAACATGAAATAAGACAATGGCCTGGATTAACACTGGTCTTGATGGGATGACACAGACTCTTCCAAAGTTGGTTGGAATTTAAGCTATCAACTCAAAGGTGGGAACAGGCCCCAGTGACCTACTTCCTCTCTAGTGCAGCCCAAGCTTCAACTACCAGCCTTAAATACTCACATTCATCCTGTCCCTAGCTTTCTTTCCTTGCTTGCTTACCTTCATTTTCTTCTGGGTCCCTTCCCTCTAACTCCTACTTCCCCTCCTCTTGTAGTCTGACCTTTCTTCCATTTGTCCTGCTGGCTCTTCCTTACCAGCCCATCTCTTTCTAACGTCTACTTCCATCCACTCCACCTAACCCCCTTTGCCTTCATTTTGTGCTGAGCCCTAAATTCTTCTGCACACTCTTACTATTTTCCTGGTTGTATCCTCTCTGTGTATATTCATGCACATGTCCATTGAATACATATGCTCTTATCTGGCTGATTTTTTCTTCTAGTCCCCTAAACCCACATATTCAAAATGAAGCAGATGAAAAGTTCCCTCTATTGCAGTAACCTGTCTCACAATGGCCTATGCTAGATATCTTAAAGCAAGAAGAAAATATGTTAGGCCACATCCTCAGCTGATAGAAATTAGTGAAGATCTGGTCCTATAACTGTGTAGTTCTAGATCATGAAGAGTATTTTTTAATCAGCTTTGAAGGAAGCTAGAGACCTGTCAGCATTAGTCTCTGACTCCGTATTTTTCTGACAACATATGAGTGTTGTGCTGTCAAAGATCATTTTGATTAAGCATCATCTGGCTTGTGCAGTGGACTGCTTTGGTTCCATCTTCTTTGTGGCCTCGGGAGCATTTGTTAGGAGTGAGATGCTAGGAATTTGGCAGTGGAACTGGTGCCATGAATTGTCTTGGGCCCATGCGCTGCTGGATTTGTGAAACTGCTGCAGTTCTCCTGTTTAGACATGGAAGTGCATATTTCCCCATGACCTCCTTGAAGAACACAGCACTTGGCACTAGCAGTAGATGGTGCCCGGTTTTTACCTCTGTTGCAGGGGTCAGGCAGGCCTGGCACAATACTCTGAGGGGACACATTTTGAGACCTCTACTTAGAAGCATGCAACATTCACTTTTATCAGATCATTCTGTTTTGGGATGTTAGAGTCCTATAAACTTACTAAAGTAGCAATGCTAAAGCTTGGACATAAGAGAATAATATTTATCTCCCTAAACCTTTTGTTAAAATACTTACCTACTGTATGTTTAATAGAGTGTGTCTGTTTTTTTTTAAAATTCCTTTATGGTAAGAGCTAGGGCCACCAATTCAGTATACTGCTTCCTCTTACCATAGCTTAAAGCAATGTGCTGGTTTGGTTGTGCCAGGACAATAGAATGTGCCTGGAATGGGATTGCTTCTCATACAACTAGACAGAAAAGAGACAGAATCACCAGGCAGGTAAAAGGGGCAGTCTGGGGGTGCCCTCCATCCAGGACTGCCTCAACCCCGAACCTCTCACCTCCCAGGTGCCCTTTAAGGGGGGCAGGAGGGCTGAAGTTTCCCCCTCCCTGATTCATAAGGGAATATAGTTGGCTAGTCCCCTTCATCAGGGAGTGAAGGGAAAGTGCACTGTTTGCTCCATCCCTCAGACTGGCTGGGAAGTGCAGGGGGCAGACAAACCTTGAACTGTCCCAGCTAGGGGACATACAACCCTCCCCCAGCAGTGCCCACTGGAGCTGCAGAAATCATGGAGAGGCACTTTTCACCTGACCCCAAGTTGCTGCGGTGAGAGAGGGCTGAAGTAGTCCTCTCTCCCTGGGACAGCCTCCATACTGAACCCCTCATGCCACCCCACCCCAGAGCAATGATTTAAATGAAGAAAAACAAATATTAATTGAGTTAAGGACCCCAGCAACACCCGGTAAATCTTGTAGTAATTTATAAAGCATTTTGCCTGGTGAGGAATGTCTATTTGTAACTGTGGGTTTTGGTCCTTGTGGAGGGGCACGGCGTCGGCGTGACCCTCCCCAAGGGCCACACAGGGTCCTCCGCCCTTCCCCCCCGGCTTCCCTCACCTGAGGTCTCTTCCCCTTGTGCTCCCTGATCACCCAGGAGCCCTGCCCCGAGTCCAGCAGGGTCGGTCCACGCTCAGTCGAGTGTTAGTGTGGCCCTCCCCGAGGGCCACACAGGGTCCTCCGCCCTTCCCCTCCGGCTTCCCTCACCTGAGGTCTCTTCCCCTTGTGCTCCCTGATCACCCAGGAGCCCTGCCCCGAGTCCAGCAGGGTCGGTCCACACTCAGTAGAGTATTACTGTCGTCCGCGTCAGCGAGGGGAGGTAGGGGGGCTCGGGCCCGCTCTCACTCCGAGCCCTGACCCAGGGCCCTAAGGTCTGGGGGGATGCGGCGCCCCCCCCAGCCCTGGTTGGTGTGGGAGGGAGTCCACTAAACACACCAACTCCCTGGGTTCCAATACCCTGCCCTGGGTCGCTTCCTACCTCCCTCGCCGCGTCGCCATGACGGCTTGGTCCCGAGGGCCTCCGCAGACAGGGTCCGAAGTGCCTCTGTCCGTCCGCCCTCCATCCTGCTGTGCGTCTTCTCCCCCCTCGCTCTGGCGACGGCGCTCCTTTTGAGCATCCCGCCACAATGACGTCCTCCGTAGCGGGGCGGGCCCGCCTCCTCCGCCGGGGGAAGGTGCCCCGCCACGGCGCCTACGCCGGCCGGTGCCGCAGGGCTGTGTCGGCTCCCCGTTGTTCCTGCCTGGCTAGGGCTGCGACGGCGTGGCCGGGCGCAACTGGTCGGGGCCCTCAAGCCGCGCAGAGCAGGAGCCAGCGCGGAGCCGCCGTTTCGCCCCAGCATGCCGGGGACGGCGCTCGGCTAGTGCGTGTGCTGCCCCATCACAGTCCTGTAAAGATGACTATATTTTGCTTGTGTTGTGGTCATAGCATTCATAGATGAACCCAAATGTTCTGAAGACTTGTGTTTTTGATACATGAATGAATGAATGAATGAAATATATAAGGTGTGGAATACACTGACAATGCAATACCTCATAGGTGATCACAGAAATCCAATCTTCTTCCCCCACTAACTCTTCATATGATATAATATTTAGCTTTATGAACTTCCATTCCCCACTGGTGAGGAGATAAAGTTTGCTTTGCTTAGTCACAACCTCTGTTGTCTGATTGGACAGGAGTATGATGTCCCCTGTTTGGAGAAAGAAAGTGAAAACACAGTGCTTTAAAGGTGTTTCCTCTCTCAGGGTAAGGAATTCAAATCACTGGAACAGGGGCGGGGGGGGGGAGAGAAAGTGAAGGCCCCTTTCAGTGGGAAAGTTGCAGCTCTTGTGTATTTGGAGCTTGATTCTTATTTACGGTAAACAGGGAATGGTTTCATTGAAATAATTGGAGTTATACCAGTATGAGATCAGAATCCAGCCAAGTGTTCACTGCTTAAATGGGAACAAATGTCTGCAGACAGTTGGAGTTTTATAACTTCATTGGTCTTGGCTACTTGATTACATTGTGTCTCCCATCTTAAGGCCTTGATCCAAATCCTACTGAAGCCAGTGGGAATCTTTCCGTCGATGGAGCCTTGTAGATTTGTTTATTGGGCAAAGGGAAATGAAGCCGCGATGTAAATAATCACGGCTTCATTTAAATGTAAATGGCTGATCAGCTGTTTGTCGGCTCAGCACGCTAATCTGGATGCTCCCCTGTCGACATCAAAGGCATTTGTCGACCTCCTCAGTAAACCTCATCCCACAGGCATACCAGGGAGGTCAACAAATGCCTTTGATGTCGACGGGGGAGCATCCAGACTAGCGCGTTGAGCCGACAAACAGCTGATCAGCTGTTTTTTGGCTCAGTGCGGCAGCCATTTAAATTTAAATGAAACAGCTATTATTTGCCTACGACCCTAATCTACATCGACGGAGCCATGTAGTCTAGACACACCCTTAGAGGAGCCGTGTGGAGGGTCTGTCTTTCCTGTGCTTCCATGAATACGTGGGAGTAGCTCTTATCCTCTTCACAGACTGACTACGGTGGCCATTGAGGAAATGAAACATTTTCCTGAGAAAAATATCCAGAGCTCAATACCAAGATGGTTTCCCTGGAATGCTTCCCTCCCTGTTGTGAACTGGTCTGGTTTAATACTTGCACTCCTAGCCACTGTTTCCCTCTTCATAGCAAAACAAGCTGCCTTTCTGGATGAGCTGCTTTAGCGAAACACATGTTATTGGGCTCAAGACAAGGTTAACTGTGTGACATTTAGTAGCCTGTGATACACAGAATGCCAGACTAGATGATCTAATGGCTCCTTCAGTTTTTAAACTCTAGGAAAGTCATGAAACATTTTCTATCTTAGTTTAACAAAGGCAATTGTTTTTCAAGTGTAACAGAATTATTAGACTAGTTCTAGTTAAATGGAAACCAGTGCTGAGCAAACAATAAAAGATCATGCTTTATAGTAAGTCTTGCCTCTAAGAAAACATGTCGCAGCTAATGCAGATTTAGCCTGGAACTCAAATCTCTAATCTTGGGTTCCATCTTGCAGCCCTTTTTACTACTGTGAGTACTCCTACCAACTTAAATCTGAATTGTGTTTTTAATTTAGACCTTCATGCATGATTTAAGGACTAGATCTTGTAAATTCAAGTAATCCCTATTGCAGTCAGTGGGACGAGACATTTGACTAAACTGACCACTCCTGGAAGGCTTGAAGGGGAAGATCCTAGATTCTTCCAGAGCTTTACACACAAGACTCCATAGTGGGAAATCATACTATGGCCCAGTTTCCCTCTTGCACTGTAATTTTTTTAAACTCAGGGAATGCTATTGATTAGTGAACATAAAAATTAAAGAAAAAGTCTGGTAGCACTTTAAAGGCTAACGAAACATGTAGGTGGTATCATGAGCTTTCATGGGCACAACCCACTTCTTCAGATGACCAGAGAGTTGGATGTGCAGAACCAAAAATAAATAGGGAAGGAAAAGGGGGGGGGGGGAGGAGAGGCAGTGGGTATATAAATATCAAAGGGAAAGCTGAGCAGTAATGTAACAGGCAAAACTGTCTATAATCACCTAAAAATTCAAGAGCAGATCAGACCTGTGATCCAGCTAGTCCATTCTGTGTCTGCGGACAGTGGCCAGCAACAACAAATCCAATGTAGCTGTAGTAAATGTGAGTAAAAATGGACATACCTGAATTCATAAATGGGAAGATGGTTATCTGGCACATCTGGGTATCAAATGGAAACTTGTTCATCTCCAAGTTGCATGCTATGGTGACACGGTGCTGCTGGGTTGTATGAATGGTGCCATTGTGAATGATGTTCAGAAAGGACCTGCTCAGTGTTTTCTCTTCATCCACTCTGAAGAAACCAACGATTCAGCAAAAACAAACAGTAAAATGACCAAATAGTCACTGCAGATCGAAGTCACTGCAGATCGAAGTCACTATTTTATTTGCAACTCGCTATTTGTCTGACTTTGACTGGTCAGTGACCCTATCTATGTACAACAAGAAATGGAAGAGAAAGGGTGAGTGACAGTGAGTAACAAGTCAGGCCCGTACATAGGGGGTGGGTGGGAAAGGATGAATGCATCAGTCCCATGGTTCCCCAAGTAAGCATGAGGCTGGAGCAGTGTGTTATCCCAGCCTCTCTCGCCCATGCTCCGGCCAATCCAGGGAAAGGTAGGAGCGGCACGCTGCCTCAGTCTCCCTCCCTCCTCTGTGTTCCGACTGGGGGAAGGCTGGGCCTGATTTTCTGCCCCACCTCCAGGAGTGGAACCGAGGGCAAAGCTGGGCGGCCACCAACTCCTCCTATGGCTTTCCCCTATGAGCCAGCAAGAGATGAAAGATTTAAAAACAAGGGAGAACAACAACAAAACTGGGAGAAAACAGGAAGAGAGAAAACAAGCAGAGAACGGATAGGCCAGCATGTAGGTAAGAGCAGAATCAGGCCTTGTGTGGTCATGCGCATCTGTAACACGCATACCCAGTGGGTGTGCTTCACTGTTCCATGTAGCGGCACTTAGACCATGTACAGTGAGCTCTCCAGCCTAAGCTGAGAGGCAGCTGGTTTTATAGTTCAAACTGTAGAGGCTCCTACACCACGCTCTTGAGATCCCCTGTTTAGTTCTGCCTGCAGGCGGTTACACTTGCTCTTACTGCTTGACAAATAATCATTAATAATTAACCCTTTTGGAACAATACCAACTGTAATAGTACTGCAGGCAGCTCATGGTCCTCCAGAATGAATAGTGATAGCCACTAAGATATATTGTGAAAGTCTCTCTTTCTTTGATTGGCTTCCCTGACTGTCAGATAGTTTGCCCATAGCCTACACATGCTGTAGTAGTGCCCTCTCACACAGGGACTAAACTCTCTCCCTGATCCCCATTTTAATTAATCAATGTTTTCTTACTGCTATGAGATAAATTACATGACTCTCAGCTATTGCCCATGACCACAAAAAAAAATCATCCTCCAAAACCTTTGTTTATATGAGTACCAGTAATCCTCACTCCAGTGAATTAGTCCCATTGATTTCAGCGGCACCAATCATGCCCCTTGTAATTATCTGTCATAAGGAAGTGAATTAAAATCAGCTAAGGAGAGTCTTACTGTTCATAAATGCCGATATATGGGGACCACAATGTATCCACTGGCAGAATGAGTTTGGAAATGTTACAGAACTCCTGAGGATTCCATGTTGCAAAGACATTTTCCCACTTCTAGAGGAAAGAAAAATCACAAATGGAACCAATGTTTGGACTCACAGCACATAGGAAATGGCTTTGATTTTACAGAAAAGGGCTCTTACCATGGTCACCAAGAAATAGACAGTGACAGTCTGTAGCTTTTCAACCTACAGAAGCAAAATGGGACGTGGTTAGCACGATTCCATTAAGGTAGGGATGGCGCTTGTCAGTTGGTTGGTCTTTTTCTTACAATATCATGATGGGTATCACAGATATGAGAAAATCAGGTCAGGTCAATGACTTATTATTTTTGGTCTTCCAAACTGAAGAGTAGAATGGAAGGATAAATGTTTGGAAAAAATAATTGCCTGATAGGATACACCTGGCTGTGTAAATCTGGTCTGGGAGAGGATCCAGAACAGAACAGCAGAATGGGAGAAAAATTGCAACAAGGCTCAAGGAAATATAGTCTACAGAATCCAATACCTGATATATAAGGAGGGTAAAACCCAATAAGAGTTACCAGGTCTCTCCTTACTCTCCCACTCTACTTTGCTTTAACACTGGATAATAATGTGGATTCACAGCACCCAGGCAGGCTAAGCAGAGAGTGGTCTTTCCCTTGTAAAAGGCTTTTTTTTTTTTGGAGGAAAAAGAAAGAAGTTCTGATGAAATCCAAATCAAGGACCAAATTCCTGAATATTCTTGGACAACTTTGCATTGCTTTGGCAACAAATTGCACCTTAACTATCCAATTACAAAGCAGGTAGGAGGCTGCTAGAGAAATGAATCTTGCCCTGTACTGTGATCTTTTAGAGTTCATTTTAATGTGACACCTGTTTAACATTGGGTGAGCATTAAAGAGATTTTAAACAATACCCCCATCTGTGTGAATGTGACAAACTATTTTACATCTGGAGCCTCCCTATATACATTGCTCTGGATTATGCTTTCAGACCACAGCCATAAAGTCTTTAGAAGATCTAAGGTGTATAGCATCAAACTTTTCACATGCGTAGCAGTGATCAGTGGATTTACTCCTGATATGGACTGGCCAGAGAAAGAGAAAAATTACTCACTCACTCATGTGGATTTACTCCTGATATGGACTGGCCTGAGAGAGAAAAATTACTCACTCACGGGTCATCAGCTGCCTCAACATCTCACTTTCCACAAAATTTCCCACTATAAAACTAATAACATTTGTTTCCTTACCACTGAGAGGATGGAAAACAATAAAAATTCTATCTCCACTTTCAACGGCTCTTTCCAATTTTTCTTGGGTATTGTATGTAGCATGGGTGCCTTTTCATAAGAGATATTCAAGTAGTGAATGACATCATCATACGTACAGAGCTGTTCTGGGGTAGCACCTGTGGAAATAAAATGAAAGTTGAGTTACATTTAAATTCATTTTAATAGAGCAATACTGGCAGGATGTCAACATATACCACACACCCAGACTACGAATGGGAATGCACATCAGAGGATAAAGACATTGTGCCACATATACCACACACCCAGACTACGAATGGAAATGCACGTCAGAGGATAAAAGGCATTGTGCCTTAGCTACTAGAAAACCACAGTCAGATCTTTTCCCTTTCACACTGGTGGAACTAGGGTGCCCGTCTTAATCTTCCTTATGCATATATGAGAATCTAAATGACTCAGGTGTAATCTGGTTGTTTTTCCCCTGGTCTTACTATAAATGTAACTTACCTGTTGCCAAAGACACAGTGAGAATGGCTAAGAAGGCTTCCCACATCTTTCCCCTTTTCCTAATGAAGCAAGTGGTAGAACTGACGCTACCAAGAGTTGCCTGTGGCTATTTGCTGAGGTGCTGGTGATTTGATATTAATCAGTGCAGGGAGAAAGCTGATGTAATTGAAGGCTAGGTTTTTTTTAATGAAGAATTCAATGATAATGGGTTGATGCACTCAGCTGGCTCTTGGGATCTGCCCGGCAAATTACTGTTAATGATATTGATGTTATAGGGCCAGTGCTGCAGTAGGAATCATTTGCTTTAACTTCATGGATTCCATACTCCACCCCCAAAAAAAGAACTTATGCAGAGAAAAGGGAAGGATTCAGTATCACCAAGCATAATGCTAAAAGCATTAGCCCTTTAAGAGCCAAGTCTTGTGCATGTTTATGTGTTAAATCTGATGCAGTTCCATTTCTCTGGAAATAGAGTCACTCTAGGTTTTTACTTGTCTGATAAAGCAACATTTGGGGCTACACAACTCACTTAAAATTCTCTTGTGTTTGAATTCCTGTTCCCATATGTGGGTTGCTCAGGCGAGGGGGGTGGTGAGTGACCCTGTGGTAGAACTTCTCCATTTTCTAGCCATCAGTCCTTTCGCACATTCATCTGCACTCTCGTTTCTTTTTCCTTTTGTGGGGTGAGCAGACAATTTCAGCACGTGCACATCATTCCCTAGCCTTGCTAGCCCTAATTGACAGTGAGGGTTCATCACTGTCCTTCATGTCACTTTTTTCAGTTAAAACCCCCTCTAACATACTGTCCTTCATGTCACTTTTTTCAGTTAAACCCCCTCTAACATCTACATGACTGCTGTGATTGAACCGTGGGTGACTTTGGAACAAGCCGGAGAGGCAACAGCAGGATACAGCATGAGCTCCAAAATCATTTAATTCCATGGAATTACATTAGGGGTGATTTGGCCAAGGCATTATGCAGCCAGTTAGTTCATTGTATCATTTAACTGTGCTATCTGTTGTCATGGCAGACTCATCTGGTAGCCCATATGGAATCAAAGTGTGATACATAGATTTAAGTTATAGGTATAAGTTGAGTTACAAGTAGGATTGTATCAGCGGCGTGTGAAATTTACTAGTGAATAAGAGTGAGGCGTGTGTATTGGGTATATTAAAAAAGCAAGGCTGTAATGCAAGGTCTACACAGGCTAAGGCACATAAGTTTAACTTAGTTATGCTAGGCCTCAGGCTTAAGGAGGTGTGCTTCAAGTAGGCGATCTATGACTAATCGTGTGTCTGTCAATTTACAAACTTATGTAAAGAATGGGCCAGTAGGCGATGGTCAGGAAAATATGCTGTTTGTACCTGTCTAAGCACAAAGTTAGACAAACACTGTTGGGAATGGTCTAGATCCCAGGTGGGGAACCTCAGGCCCAAACTGGATCTAGCCCCCAATGCTCAGTGCTCCCCCCCATCCCAAATCGGAGAGTCTGTGCTGGTGCTCCAGTGCCCCGATGCCCCACCGTGAGGCTGGAGCACACAGAATCTATCTGCCTCCCCCCCAGCCTCTGATGTGCGCAGAAAATGTGGGGAGTGTCTTTCTCCTGCACAGTCGGGGGCCACATCAGCAAGGGTTTTTTATTTTATTTTTGCTCCTCACTTCTGTGAGCCCCCAACTGATTTTTTTCTATGAGTCAGCAGCCCCTGACCCAAAAGAGGTTTCCCTCTTCTGGTCTAGATGGTCTATGATCCTGCCATGTGTGCAAGGGACTGGACTTGATGACCTCAAGGTATTTTCAAATCCTATTTATTCTATGATTCTATGATTGAAACATCAGAGAAAATTCTGCTCTTATTTCAGGTTACCATGGGAACATGTTTACATAGATACTAATGAGATGCTAATGAGACTAAGGGGAACTAAGGGGACAACCTATGAAAAGCAGGAAATCCCAAAATGTATGGGGTGTAGTGGGATGATGTTCTTGTCAAACCAGGATTAGGGGAAAGGACACTTTGTTGGCTGGATGGTCTGTCAGTCTCCTGGAGAGATAGAGATGGGACTTCCTTTCCCTGAAAAGGGTTCTGGGTAGGAAAGCCCTCTACAAATATCCTTGGCTTCTACATCAGCCAGTGTGAGTGTTTTAGTGTTAGAGTGACAGGAGGGAAAAGTTGGGAATGCTATCTATGGCCTTTGGAGGTATGCTCTGGAAAGTAGTCCTTCTTGTTGAGATGACTTAGTTATTTAAATAAATCCAGGCTTTTTTTATTTTAAAATGTTGTCCCAAGAGGGTCCTGCTGCTTATTGGACAGTCTTGCTTTTGCACTCTGCCACAGGGGACTTGACCACCTGGTCTTCCATATCCTAGTTAAGCACCTTTAGAATTAAGGATGGCCGTCTTTTGGCTGTTTTATTAATGTAGCCCTTTGAAGATGCTTGGGAGCAAAACACTCTGGGTTAAAGATGTTTTATTTGCTCTGAAATACACTTTTTGATTCACTGCAATAAACCCACTGGATCTTTTCGCACTACCAGCTAATGGAAAAATCTGTCACTTGCTGTAAAAACATCACCTGCTCTAGTTCTGAAAGTTGTAGGAAATTAAAAAACGACCTTCCTGGTAAGACAGTGACATGGTCCTTCAGTGCCGACACTTTATCCCACTTAATTCCCACTGCTTAAACTAAAGTGCCAGCTCTATCCTGATGCTCATTCTTCACTTCTCCCTGTACTGTTTAGGTTTCATAGGCTTGGTGCTTTCACAACTGCCAGCCCTGCTTTACACAGTGCAGCCCTAAAGCACCTCCCTCTTGCCTTCAGATTCCCTGCACCCCAACTTCTGTGCTTCACAGGCTATGAAAGCCTGGGAAACCCCAAAAGGTCATGACCCCTGTCCCGCACTGCTCCTGTTCCTGGCCAAAGGGAGCAGTGTCTATGGGGCCACTGCATGCAGGCAATAGTGGTAGTATATGAAGAGGCTTCTGTTGCTCTCTCCCTCATCTCATTGGGGCTGGCCTGCACATTGCAGGGATGGCACATGCCTGCGCTGTGTCTAGCCAGTGGAGCATGGGGCCAGCAGGACAGGGATTCCCAGCAGATCCCGGGTTCTGCAGAAATGCTGCAGAGAGCCCGGGATCAGCTGGGGACTCTCCACGCTCCGAGTGTCATTTCAAAGTGGCATCACAACATGGAGCCTGGGCTAACTCATCTTGTCCATACTAAGGATGTTAAGGATTAGTCGACTATCTGATAAGCAAATGCTTATCGGATAGTCGAGTCTACTAGTCGCTTCCTCCCCCCTTGCTGCCTCTATCCGATACTTCAAAGTGGCAGTACCACACGGAGCCTGGGGTACAGGCTGCACGCAGAGTTCCAATTTTGAAATGTACATTTCAAAGGAGGAATGCGGAAGTGCCTATCAACTGGTCGAGTAGTTGATGGAAATTCCATCGACTACTCGACTAGTAAATTACTCATTAGTTAACATCCCTAGTGCCCAGCCAGGGGTGTCCTTCCATCTGCAGCATCTGAGGCATCTGGGACTGGCCTTTTCTGCTCTCAGGTTGATGCCTTGAAAAGATGAAACTAGCATCAAAGCAGCCCATGCATGGCAGAGGTTAAACTGAGTGTGGCTGGAAAAGTGGGTAAGTCCCAAGAGCACCATAAACTGTAAGATCAAGGCCAGATCTGCTCCTCCCCCATTGATAGTCAATGTAATATGGGCTGGGATAGTGTCACTTTACTCAGCAGAGATGCCCACGCCTGGGCTACGTCTACACTGGCACCCTTTTCCGGAAATCCTTAAAACAGAACAATTTTCCATTATAAGTATTTCTGGAAAAAGAGCGTCTACATTGGCAGGATGCTTTTCCGGAAAAGCCCTTTTTCTGGAAAAGCGTCCATGGCCAATGTAGACATGCTTTTCCAGAAAAAAGCCCCAATCGTCATTTTCACGATCGGGGCTTTTTTGCGGAAAAGACTACTGTGCTGTCTACACTGGCCCTTTTCCGGAATAGTTTTTCCGGAAAAGGACTTTTGCCCGAATGGGAGCAGCATAGTTTAGCGTCGTTGCTTTTCCGGAAATTCAAGGGCCAGTATAGACAGCTCGCAGCTTATTCCGGAAAAGCGGCTGATTTTCCGGAATAAGTGGCCCAGTGTAGACACAGCCCTGATGTATCTACACAGCACCGTAACATCCCTAGTGTTTTTTGAGCCATGCAAAGTGTGTATTTTATTTCAAAATAGCTTATTTTGTCATTTGGTGCT